TGACTCGAGGGTCTCCTCTATCCGTGGAAGAGGGAAGGAATCCTTCGTGGTTTTCTCGTTGAGTCGTCTATAATCGATGCACAGACGAAGTTGCCCATTTTTCTTCTTGACCAGGACGATAGGGCTTGCGTATGGACTAACCGATTTTCTGATGATATTTTGGTCAAGCAAGTCTTGCAACATTTTCTTGACTTCAGCCATGCGGCTTGGAATTACTCGCCTATAGGGCAAGTTCACAGGCTTGTCGTCAGCCAACTTGATCTCATGAGGGATCAAATCACAGAAACCTAAATCATAAGGCCCTAATGAAAAAGCTCCTTCGTGCTTCCTTATCAAGGAAACCACTGCCAGTGCTTCGTCACCAGTCATGCCTCGCACACTAATACCTGGAGGCAATAAGTAGGTAGAACCATTAGGAAGAGCGAAAGGTTCTCGCTCCTGTTCATCTTTAGAGCTCTCCACCCGTGGAGCAGGACAACCTGATGTTTCTTCCAAATTATCAATTACAACTTCATGGGTGGACACAACAATGCTGTCGTCATGGATATCAGTAATGACCTGATCCTCCATCAATGCTGTTGAGGCAGTTGCCACCCTGGTGAGAGCCGGAATAATCAGTTGCTTCGAGCCAGTATTCGCCACCAGGACCGGGATTGTAGTTCCTTCTACTTCTTGGATGCCCTCTACAACAGGCCATAAAGAGACTGTGTTGTCATTCCCCAAATCATCTCCGTCAACATCGTGTTGAAGCGGTCTGAGCAGAACAGTTTTCCCTTCAAAATCAGCGCAAGGCGTGCCAATCTCACAACGGATCAGCTTAGCGCAAGCTGGGGGTACCGACTCACACTTATGAGTCCAAACTTCTGCGACTTGGGGACTTGAAACGACTTCCTTCGTGACTTTGTCACGACTGCAGTCAAACGACCTGAACCAACGTAGGGCGAAATCCCAATCTGAGCCCAGTGAGCGAACGTTGTGATGCGGAATCCCAGCAGACAACATTCTCAAAATATTGCAACCCAATAGGACAGGATATTTATCCCGCCTACCACCAGAGTCCGAAGCTTCCTGTCTAGTAACTAAGAAGCTGGCTGTAAACTCATGTCCCAACACCTTAATGGGTGCCTCAAGAAACCCTTCCACTGGAATACGTAGACCATTTGCTCCCAGCAAATTGATGTATGTGCCCACCTCATTTAATTTCCCCACCTTTGAAGCTAACCGACTGTGATAAAATTTGGACGAAATCAAGGACGTTTCTGCACCCGTGTCTAATACACAGCAAACTGGAACTCCATGAATGCAAATTTTGGCAGTAGGGCTGCTCGAGAGGAGCTTCCTGTGGTCGTCCCTATTCATCATCCTATCAACATCCAAGGAAAAGTCATCATCATCATCACAATTGGTACTTCGTGGCTCGGAATTTCTGTGACTGGTGGGCACAACTAAGTCCTCCGCCATAGTGCCCTTTAAGACGGAGGCGGGGCGTTTCCCGATGGGGAAGCCTGCCCCGATGTTACTTCTTTGTTGCTGGCGTCTTGGGCTCGCTTTTTAGCGTAGCATTTCTCTTCTGAGTGCCCTTGTTTGTGGCAGAAGGTGCAAGTCACTGGGTTCCGGTTGTTCTTCCTTCGCTCCTGGGCCTGAGACTTGATGACGCAGGACTGCAGTGAGTTTGAAACACTCTGCAGCTGAGTACTCATCTGAGTCTGCTGCTGGACCAGTAACTGGACAGCTGTCTGAAGTTGTTTCTGTCCTTCCAGTAGCTCTGACAGCAACTTTTGATTATCTACACCAGAATTATGGGTAGACGTAGACCCTGTTGCTCCACCTGGGTTTCGGCTTCGCCCCTTTTCGACTGCGCGCAGGTCTACTTCCTCAGGAACCTCGTCGGCATCAGCAAGCAGACTCAGAGCCAATTCTCGCAAATCATAGAAAGAGACATCTGGACGGTCCAAGGTCAACTTCCGAAGCTCTCTCCGTACTGAAACATCTCGAACACCTCGAATTAGTTGTTCCCTCAGGGCCTTCTCCTTCAACTGGACAACAGCTCCCTTTTCATGGGATCCCTCAGCGGTCGACTCTATTTTGCCATACAGACGCATAAGAGCCCTGCTATACTCCGCCAAGGTTTCACCATCTTCCTGGACACGACTGTAAAAGGAAGCATTTAGTGACTGAACAGACTCCGGAGAGCCAAACCTACGCAACAGTAGCGCCGAGAGTCCTTCAAAATTCTCTTTTTCTGTTGCAGGACAGCAGAGGACCTCCTCCTTGGCCTCACCCCCCAGGTGGTCTATAGCCGTGCTAACCAACTCTTTTCCCGAGAGACCTAGTTGTCTCGCGTAGGTATCTAAATCACCGAGCCACTCCCTTAATGTCTGATCACCCGATTTGCGCGGCACTCCATTGAATTTAGCTAATCTGATGGTCGGAGCCCGCTGATATCTTAGGTTTTGAAAAGCTCCTGCCAACGTTTCGGCCAAGGCCTTGTTGGACTGAGCAATGACGTCAGCCAAACCTTCCGGCATTGCCATGGTAAGAACCAGACTCGACAGAAAAATTTTCAGGCTATACAATCAAAAATTTAGAAATCCCAATCACAGGGTAACCTCCACCAGTGACACCAGGAGCAAACAGTGGCTACTCGACAAAACTTTACACCTGACCTGCTGTTTTTTTTCTCAACAGGAACAGAATTGACTCACTTATTTCGAGCGTTAGAATCTGGATGCACCTAATGATAAACTCCCCAGATCCTGCTTTGTTCAAATACACCTAATTATTATACTTGTATAAAGGTGTTCTTTTATTTACCACTCCAAACTACATAAGTGACCTGCAACACTCTAAATCATTTACATAAACATAGAGTTCGAATGATGTCATACAATGCCTTTGAAATAGACAGCTAAATCTGAGCACCAACCAAATTTTTTTTTTTTTACACCACTGAGACTGATAAATTTATATATATCAGAGGTTTTTTTTTTTTTTTGTTCCAAATATAAACAATGTTATCTTGATGCTCTTGCGTCGACTAGAGCCCCTGAATCCTGTCTACGACGCCATTTTCTGTAGTAGTATGGTCGACCCTGGGACAATCCAAGGCTGGTGGTCCATCTACGATGAGGTGGATAGGGAGCCCGAAGAAACTTGGACGCAGCACTCTTATATACAATGCTTGATTAAATTTTATTCCACCGGATGTACGTCAATGATATACAATCCCAATAAAAAAACCCTGTTAATAAAAGATAGAATAAACAATAAGCGTCAGTTGTTTGTCAAAAGTATACACTCAGTCTCACCAGTTTGTCGATTATACATTTTCCAAAAAAATAAACAATGTACAATACACTTTCAAATGGATGTGTGTATAACAGAGCTGTATAAATCCACCGCGCAATTTAGCTTGTTGGCTACTAAACGCGATGACATTGCCAAGTAAAACAGTGATAATACATGCAATACATGTACTCATGAACAATATAATTCCTATTTCCTCCTCAAAAAGGCTGGAAATTATGCAATATAAATCGACACCTAGAATTCACAAGCTTACCCTGATATAAGATGGGGTGGTGAATAATGGTGAATAATGTGACGAGTAGTGCTCAAGGTAGTATAGCTACAGTGTCCAATGAGGTTTAGACGGAGCCCATGACATAATATTATGAAGACACTGCTCGAAATCTATGAGTAGTCGGCAAGGTCTATAAAATGCAAGGTACATTTTGTACATGTCAAATTCAACATGAGTGTATTTATAAAATGACACTAATAACAATGCTCTATACACAAGTTTACAGTGGAGTGTGTAAAGACCAATACAATAAAAGGGAAAAAGAGATTCACCCAATCTGTGTAATTAAGCGCCTAAAATAGTTAGTGAGCCTTGCCACACGCAGCGCAGTGCCCCAATAATACAGCGCCACCGCGCTGAAGCTAGCACGCGTTCAGTAACACACAGCGCAGTGCCCCAACAACACACGTACGTTGTACACACAACAGCAAGAAGCGACATTGTACATGTACAGTAACGACACATGGGCGCCATTGCGCAATACACTACATGCATATTATTATGACCCGCTGCGCGCCCACTGGCCAAAAGTTATAAACTTTGTTGCGAGTACAGCATCCCTAAAATCACACATATTCATGTCTATTGCCCCTATGAAAGTTATCTGCACATAATAATGCACCAGTTTAACATATTGAGACAATGAAACAATATCGAGAAGCAGTTGTAAAATGGACACATTTGAGGAGAGAAAGTCTCACCTGCGACAGCAAGAAGCACGCACGGCAAGAGGCCGCAACGACGTGCCTGGGTGAATCGGCCCGAAACGTAATTATTCCGCCATTCACAAAATATCCGTCGCCTATCGACTTTATCTCTCAGGTACTACCAATAAACACAAGTGTGTCTTTTGAATGATATAAACAAGCTTCTCGACAAAGTTTGTCCCTGGGAAGAATCCAATAATGCATTCTTAACCAATAACTTGGAACTAACTAGTGAGGCGTAGATATACGACCCCAGATAGGTGTCACAAATAACCTTGCCAGTCCCACTAATTAACCGGCTGACCTTGGGTGTGCTATTATAAAATGTCGTGCCCCTACATTACAAATTCAAACTGAATTTCAGTATTAAAACCAAATGCTACAAGTAGTACAAATTATTTAATTTTTTATTTTTATTTTTTTTCAAGAGCAAACATTTTGGAGCTTTGTTGGCCTTGGAGCAATGACTTAAACATATTTAAATCATTCTTCAAATTAGTCAAAGTCTGAGCTATAAATTTTGAGTGAAAATCTTTTTAAAATAGTGCATCTTGGTCTCTTCAAATTTTTTTTCACTCTGACGTGAATTCTCTTTTGTATTTTTTGGGGGCGGGGGTAATGTGCTCATTTGGTTTATGTGCAACAGTGTGCCAGTTTTCTTTGATTTCAAATGACAAATCATCAATGATTTAATCTTTTGTTTTAACTCTGTAAAACAAGGAAGAGGGTAGGGGGGACACCACCAAATGTACATTTCAAAGAATATATGACATTGATTATCCTTGACTAATTAATCAAGAAGCACCAGATTATTAACCTGTAAACATAAAATTGTTATTTCGTCCATTGAATAGATATGTTCATCGTAGTTGTTTTCCCTGAAACTGAAGAGGTGGAACTCATTCCAGATAATTGGCTTCTTAAATCTCAAAACAAAGCACTATGGCCCCCATTTCGGTCGCTTGCAGCAATTTCGAAAGCAGTGAGGGATAAGCTGAAGCCAGACTTAATGACTTGGGAGAGTTTCCGCATTAGAGTGCTGTATCGCTGTGGTAAGTTCATGCTATTTATTTATTTATTTATTTCTTATTTTGACTGGGTTGGCTTCCCATTCAGTGGAATCCACTGATCTCCCATGGGTCCCAGTAAAGAGAAGATAATGTGAAGAAATTACAGTTTAGATGTGGGAGGAAAAGCCCAGAAGAGTATTCTGAGGAAAACCCACGGAATCAGGTAGGGACTGAAAACCCAATCCACGTATTGACCCAGGCAGGATTCTAAACCCGGGTCACAGCGGTGGAAGCGAGGAAAGTACCGCTACGCCAACCTGACTGCTAGACAGGCTGACCTTTTAACTAACAATTACAAATTGTTTGGAACTTTTATGACTAGTCTTCCAATGAGTGGTCGATCCCTTGATATGTAGAATAGCAGTTAAATATATGTCCATTACACAAGGCTTTGCCTTGCCCGCTACGTGGGGGAGGTGCCTTTACCGGTTGTTGCAGGCGGTAGGCTTTGCCAATACTAGGGTCGAGATCGATCAAGGCAGCTTTTCTGCCTGTCGCCCGCTCCATGGTTGCCTCAGCAACTCATGAACAACTTGTTAGCACACCCACTCACATACCCAAGTGTGGACCCACTATTGTCCCTTAACTCCTCATTCCCTCATTGGTTTTGTACATGTATATGCATTTCAATCATGGACGTTTGGTCAATCGTGGACCGTTTGTTTATGCCCTAACCCTATTGTCCGTATAGTCCAAGCTTGGCGTGGTATTTACACGTTACACCCAATCGTGAATATCTATACGGACGAGGACAATGCATGCTTTTTGTGTGTGTCCCTTGTCCCTGTAATCACCTATGGATTAAGCACTAATCACACAATTATTTTTTTGTGCATGATGCCAAACTGATATGTGTGTTTTTCCTTTTTCATCAGAGACTTACGAAGAAGGGCATCGTAAAGCTAAGTTGGCAGAGGAGACTTCAGACCTACAAACAGCAGAAGAACTTGAGGACGGTCAAAAGAAGACTAGAAAGTAAGCATTTCCACAGATACATTTGTTGAAAAATGCCAAGCAGTTAAGCTAGGCAAAATCAATGGGATACCCCTAGCATTGCTTCAAGCTATTGGCCCAAGTTCATCATTCTCCATCAAAATATAGTCACGCCAGGCCTTTTGGACCAATTAAGTCCCCCAAAATCCACCAAAATGGAGGGGGGGGGGGTGGAGTTTGATGAAGTTGGGGTGGTCAGGGTTAATCTCAATCATTGTAAATGACAAGTTTTAAGTTGACTTATCTATATTGGGCAGTTTGCACCATCATTATTTACATTAATTGTGCTCTTAAAACAAGAAACTGGTAATTTGCTTACTTGGCCTTAGAGGACTTTTTTTTCTTTTAAGTGTTAAAATCATGACTCAATCTATGATTGACACGACGCACATGCGCGCAGGGTTGTTACTATATTCATTGGCTCAGCTAGTTCACATGATATTTGAGCACATTCAAAACATGACTCTGCAACTTTTTGAATGAAATCAAGATCCTACCGGTAGCATATTTTGTTCTTAATTGGAATATCACTTAGTTAAAAATTCCTTGTGTTATTTGTAAAGCAGCCGTCCCGAAATTTTGAGCTTCAAACACAAAAAAGGCACAACTGACAAATGATCGATCTACCCTATCTTTAATGTTGTTTAAACCACTAGACGCCGCAGGCCAGTTCAGTGGACATCAAGTGATGAAGACAGCGATGGAGACAGCATCAAACAAATTCCGTCTTCAGCTGCGAAGGCAGCAAGACCTCTACCACCACCAAGACCCACGCCACCACCAAGACCTCAGCCACCATCCGTTCCTACCCCTCCCAGTTCACTCGTTCACTCTTCTGGTGACAGGCAGCAGCAGAGGCAGCAGCAGGACCCCCTAATGACCACAGGTATGAAGCCCTAAAACAGTTCAACTGGTTAACCCTCAGAAAAGTGAGCTGTTTCGTTGCCATTAATTGCAAGTCAAGCTGTAGTGTGTAAAAGCACTCATTTTGTGTTGGCAGTTTTATTTGTGTCTCCTGTTCATGCAGTCTCAACACCAGGGGCATAAAGCAACCGGGAAAGAGGGAGCATAATTAGCAAACAGTCCCCTAGTTACCCAAGCCCTGGGCTTCCCACTGGATAATCTGTGAGTCCTATAAGTGACCAAGGTTAACAGGCGTAACAGAAATCCCCCCCCCCACGCAACAGCAAGGAAATGACCATTATTCCGATATATTTTTTTGGATGTTGATCTCTCCCGTTTTAGTTATTCAATCTTCTCACCTCCTAGCTGAATTCCTGATTCTCACTCCTTAAAAAAAAACTCCTTTTCAAGTTCTCATTTCGACCTCCCACATTTTAATTGGTTTGTTCTATTAAAATAATGTCTTTATGAATAAATACTTTACACAGGTGCATCTAGAAGATCAAGTGGAGCAAGTGAAATTGGTGCAACTGTCACTCGTAAGTGCATTTCCCCTCATGTCTATAAAACTCCTGCTAGTGTAAGTACATACTTGTAGTTAATACATACATCAATGCATATGCAAGGCATGCATCTGTGAAGCATACCAGTTCCCAAAGAATCAATTTAAAATTGCAATGGCAATGAAAAAGTCAAAGAAGGGGGTGGCCCCCCTCCCCTCCCCTCCCCTCCCCCCCCCCCCCCCAAGTGCGTCCAGCTGTCCAGCTGCCCCCAAAATAAAATTATAATCAAATATTTTGCTTACTGCGAGGCAATTGTGCTTGTAAGATATCCTTTTTAATAATTATACCCCAAAAAATGAATGTACGTAGATCACAATATTTTTACCATGCTACAGCCTTATGAAATGTGCATAAATTAGTAGGAAAAAAAGCAGTGTCGAAGACCAGCCCCCCCCCCTTCCCACACACACCAACGTTTGTTTATGGTGTAAATCGAACATTTTCTTCTGTTCCTCTTCCCTTATTTTCCTTTGTTAGTAACCTAACTTTTTCAAACAGCTGTCATTGGTTTTGTACACGTTTTCTAATCGAGGTCGTTCTCGATTTGGTCCCTGTCCTCGATTTACACCATAAACAAACTCACACACACTCTCCTACAAAAAAATCCTGGCTTTGCCACTGTCTGTAGTTTTTGGTTTGCTGATATAATATTCAAAAGTGAAGATAAGTCAGCTAAGTTCCCTTTGACACAAAGGTTGCTTAATTGCCCATCCCTTAATTATTACGTATATCTTTTTATCTCTGTTGTAGCCCGGGCGATTTTGAAAGCAGTTTGTGAGGTCCAAGTAATGGCCAAGACTTTCTTGGAACAACAGGAATTGCAAAACAAACTTCTACACCAAATTTTGCGTAAGATTGGGGACACTTCCACAGCTGAGGACTTTACCCTGCCAGAAAACCTTCAACTGCCTCTGGGGAGCATCATTGAAGTGGAAAACATTGAAGAACAGCTGCAACAGCCTGACTTCAAGGCATCCCTGGTTTGTCTTTAATTTTTTTTGTATTTGATTTGAAGACATTAGCAGTGTTGTAACCAAGTCATTTCTTTTTTAAGTCGAGTCTCAAGTCAAAGAAATAGCAACTTGAGTTTGACTTGAGTCCTTGTCAGCTACTTAAGTCGCAACGACAGTATGACTTTATATTCAGAAACTGAAATAAGCAGGAAGGTCTGGAATATCTAATTAACCCCTAATTAATACAAATCTCATTGTTATTGGACAAAGGTGCTATATGCTGTACCCAGACAATTGTTGTAGTGTTTGGCATTTTTCTTACAGCAGTTTAAAAGTAATGAAAATTACCTCTAATTAGAAATATTCCCCTTAGCTAATTTTAAGGTCCATGGTTATAACCGGCTATACTAAGATTTATCCACTTCAATATTATTCATAAATATCTTTCCAGACAAGAATGTATGTGCAAGAGCAAAAAAGCCTTAAATAACATAGTTGCATTATGTTTCTTTGATTGGGAAAAAAAATTCTGAATTTGGCCACACATTTGTACATGTAGTTGACAATGGCATAGACAGGATTTCACAGTCTCTAATTAGTAAATTACTCACTTTTTAGTGTACCATCGTGGTAACTCACTAGCTTTTAAGTCATGTACATCTTAATTCATGTTTTCAAAACCATCTCCTCACTTTAATCAATTGACACAGGGGAACTACCTGTCAAAGATAGGTGGCAGCGATTTGAAGGAAGTTGCTAGACGTATCATGACAAACGTTTTCAGCCACGAGGTCGCTTTGAAGTTCAACTGGGCGGGGAAGGTGGGATGGAAGGGTAATGGCGAGGTGAAAAGAGCTTTCAACAACCTGGCATTGTGTGCGTCTATTACAAGTAAGTACTATACTTGTTTATAAATAAACATATATTTTACAAGGTGACCCAGCCATATCAGGTTTATGTCTGTTGTAAAGCAAGGGAAGAATATCCGTGTACTGCACGAAAGGCTCTGCACATGGCTGGCTGTAATGAGTAGAAATATCCAATATCTGCGAAATATGAAATTGCTTCAAATCTCTGTTAAACCCAACCGTGAGAAAGAGAAATGAACAAATTTAACATAATATAATGGTCAACACATAACTGTTGGGACTCATGCATTATCAGAGGTGAATCAAATATATATTAATTTCTGAGCACTTAAACTTACAGGTTGGGGTTCTTTCTGTGAGGCTCAAAGTGGGATGGTGCATAGTGTCCTCTTCTTTAAAAATCCTACTTCCCAAATTATGCTTTAATATATGCTTGTCCCAATCAACCTATCCCCCCCCCACTACCAAAAACCTCCCCAAACCAAAAAGATCGAACCAAACCAAAGCAACAGCATGCATTCATGTCACTGTCGTTCCAAAAGGTTTTATAAGGCAGCATGATGTGAAATGATAAATATAGACCATAGAGCTATATTAAATTACTAGAGCGCTCGACTCTTGTACAAAGTGATGCCTGCTGGGCGCATCCATGTTTGTGCACAAACCTATGGGGAAGCTCAAATTTTTGCACAGCTTTTTTACGGCTATTTGCATATCTGCGTTTGTATTCTATACAGGTGTGTTATCGAAGCTGGCGCCCAAAACTGCAAGCATGATCAGCAAATGAGCATTTCATTTTGTTCTACGCAAGCAGCGCAATACGTGCGCATCTCTGCTGCAGATGATAATTAGGCCAAAAAAAAAAAAAAATAAGTCGGTCTCTGTTCAAGGCGCGCGTCGATTTTAATCATGCGCGTCAACTTTGTTTTTCTTCAAATTGTCCACGGTAGCTACAGCAGCGCCCTCTATTGCCGCACCTCCTCAAATTTTTGTACCAAGGAATGGGGAAATTGCACCAAGGCAAATGATGGAGGGCACCAAGGCAAATTATGGAGGTCCCCAATGTATATGAGGACACAACAAAAGCAAAATAGTACCCACCTTGTCTGTACAATCCAAGCTTCCACACAAAAAAAGCCCCCCAATTTTTTTTTTTGGCCTTACCATGATTTTTGTTAAAAACCGTTGTGACATGCTTTTAAAGTTGTTTGCGTACGTGCTACTTGCGTGTTGCAAGTAGAGTACACTTTCAAAATTCAATCTATCTTGCTTTACAAACACGCACATGAATTCAAAATGTCTGCGCCCAGGACGGCTTCAAAGCATCTCCACGCACAAGATTGAAGAGTTAGCGCTCTAGTAATATAGCTCTATGATGTAGACATACAAGTTGAAACTTTTGACATCCGTCACGTTTTGCTGTAATGTTGATTTAAATTTTGTTTCTTGTTATATCCATTCCTTTCAGAATCTGCAATGAAGAGTGTGAAAAACGCTTCCCAAAAAGATGTCCACAAGGAGGTCATGCTCTGGCTGAGGGGTGCCAGTGACCGAAACGGTGGGAGGAAGAGACGGGAAAGGGAAAATTAACAGGCTAGGTTTCGATTAGTATTGCATTGTTGTTTGCATGAAAAGCAAATGGTTGCCTCTTAAATGTAAATTTGTGTTTATTGCCAGTTTATTGCCGCATTGCAAGTTTATCTCCCAAAGTTATTCACTTTAGAATGGAACATTAACCTTAAAAACCCATTGGTTGTTAAATCATTTCTTTTAAATTTGGAATTATTTGCAGCCTGACAAATCAGGTCCACGTGCACAGACTATTTAATTGAGACCTTTTTCAGGGACAAATGCAGCATTTTATTTTCGTTGAAACAAAAATTCAAAATGAAAATTCGATAGGAGACCCAAAAATGTATTAAGCACATGGGACAGATGCAGGATTTTATTTTCGTTGAAACAAAAATTCAAAATGAAAATGCGATAGGAGACCAAAAAAGATGTTTTAAGCACGGGTCGCACATCTTTAATGTCATGAATATTTAAGATATAGGCATCCTTAACATGTTAATTTAAAGTTTTGTCTTTTTTGCAACTGGTTTGCTGTGTTTTAAAAAAAAAAGAGAACGGTTGTCAAGTCAGTCACAATTTCTTAAGTCACCACAAGTCACAAAGAGTTAAGTTGTTTTTGTCCCATTTGGTGATATGTATGTGGCCTATTTTTGAGTAGTTTAATAAGGGTGTAGGTGGGGCCAGCTTGGTCAAAATGGTCTTTCCCCCCCCCCCCCCAAAAAAAAATAATAATAATAATAAACTGTTGAGTTGATTTTTGAAACAAAAATATGGGTCGAGCCCCCCCCCCCCAAAAAAAAGCCAAATCCAGGGTGCGCCACTGATTGACTTCACATGTGAATTGACATGTGGATTTACTTCTCGTGTGAATTGACTTAATTGTGATCACTCTTGGATTGACTTGTGGATTCCCTTGAGGACTGTGAATTGACTATAATTGTAAGTGTAAAAATTTCAAATTTAATCTACCGCAGTCTCAATTACCATGTGATTGCACATGTGATTGACTTCACATGTGTATTGACTCTTGGATTGACTTGTGGATTCCCTTGAGGATCGACATGTGACAAGGGAAAATACAACATTTGCAAACATCAAAAAATAAAACTACCAAATCATTTTGAAATACCTTGCTGGACTGTTAGTGAAAAACAGTGTAAAGCATCCTGTAAAATCGTGGCACCTGGTGTACTGTCATTTTCAAGAAAAGTGGTATTTTTGTATCAATTTCCAACGCTGATCGACCGACCAGCGTTGGAAAAAAACTGGCTTTTTTTCAAATACTGGCCCCAGTTGACCATCACACTTGTTTGCAATCGATTACACACCTATGAACGGGTACAAGCCAGCTAGACTGGTTCCCTGACCTTACAATTCCCCAATGTATGTAAACTGCTCTGTTTCTTCTTAAATGGAGTCGGGGAACCAGACTACAGGAAAATGATTGTTTTTCTTGGTTTTTATAGCATTTTCGAACCCTAAACTTCAAAAAAGTCAGTGTAACTATATTTGCTATATATTTCCAACCCCCCAATTCCATCCATTTCTGAAAATTACAGCAAAAGCAAATGATGTATATTCCCTTTAACATTTGGGAGGAAGAGAAGGGAAACTTAACGGGCTAGCTCAGTGCTAGGTTTTGAACTTTGTACTTTTGATTTTGAGTGGTATTATTTTTACAAAATTGTTTGCTTCAAAAGCAAATGCCCTTAAAATGGAAATTTGTGTTCATTTTTAATTGGCAAATTAATGTCAGATTGCAAGTTTATCACATTAAAGATGTATCCCCCATGCTAATTCAAGATTGACTCTAGCAATGATGTCACAGTTCAACACTTAACTTTAAACCCATTAACATTCAGTTATTGAATCATATTTTTTTTTAACCTTGGAATTATTTGCAGCCTGACAAATCAGGTCCATGCATGTGCACAGACTTTAATTGAGACCTTTTCAGGGACCGTATGCAGGATTTTATTTTCGTAAAATTCAAAATGCCAATTCTATAGGTCAGACCCCCAAAAATGTATTAAGCACATGGGTAATTAATACATCTTTAATGTCATAAATATTTAGGATATAGGCATCCTTAACATGTTCATTTAAATTTTTGTCTTTTTTTGCAACTGTTTTGCTGTGTTTTTACAAAATAAAAAATAACGGTTGTCAAGTCAGTCACAATTAAGTAATCATAATTAGTCACCACAAGTCACAAAAAGCCACTACAGGCTAAACTTGACTGTAAAGGCATTCCTTCCTCTGTTAGATAGTTCTGACCTGACTTGTGAATTGAATTGTAATTGATCTGTGAATTGACATGTGCTTGACTTAATTAGGATATTGACTTCACATGTGAATTGACATGTAAATTGACATGTGGATTGACATGTGGATTGACTTTACGTGTGAATTGATATGTGGATTGACCAATAAACATGTGAATTGACATGTGGGTTGACTTCACATGTGAATTGACATGTGGATTGACTCTTGGATTGACTTGTGGATTCCCTTGAGGATTGACATGTGAATTGCATGACTTTTGTTAGTGTGAAAATTTCAAGTTTAATCTGGCTCAGTCTAAATTGACATGTGGTTGATATGTGGATGACTTCCAAGTTCACTTGTGAATTTGTGGGGGTGGGGGGGGGGGTGGCAGTGAGTGACCGGAACGGTATTTAAGGAAGAGACAAGGGAAACTTTGACGTGCTGATTGACATGTGATCGACTTGTGGATTGAATTTTGAATTGAATTGTAATTCGACTTGTGTTTGATTCTATTTTAATTTGTAAACAAAAAAAAAATGGAACCAACTAAAGTTGTATCCATCATTGAATAAAAATGTTGATGTTCTGATTTGTTGATGTATTACTTAAATTTGTGTCCATCATCTCTCCATTTTGTCACATAGGTTGTTTTCATTTATTAACAGTGGTTTTGGAGGCGGCAGGCAGCCCCATCTGCTGAAACTCAAAAACCGGCTGTAAAATGAGTTTCGTTCCAGCAACACTGGGTCTACTTTTTTAATGCACATATGTGGGGTTCAGTACATCACAAACACTATGTCAAAAGTTCTCCAGCAAATATGCTGCAGTTTTTTTTTACACCTCATCAAAGTTTGCCAATGTTATGTACATGTATGTATGCTAAAAAAACCACATTTTTCCAGTTTGAGGCCTTGCGTTGGCAATTCCAATTTCAAAACTACGCACGTACAGCACTATAGCTTGTCATATCCTAGAAACTCCTGACCCTAGAAACTCCTGGGTCAGACTCAGTCTGCTCAGTCCTTTTCCAGGTCAAAAACTGACCCCTTTTGGAGACATAAATGACCCCTTTGGAGTAAAAAAAAGACATGTTTCTCGGTCATTTTGACTGAAATGTGTATTTTTTTTTACCCAGAAAAGGACTGAGCAAATTTGGATTCAGATTCTGGGTCAATTTGACCCAGGAGATTTTAGAGTTAAAAAATATCTTTTATGTACATTGGCAATTGGGTCACACAGAACATGACCTTTTGTTTTCTCATCTGGTAGACATCACCACAGTCCCTCTTCCAAAAAATATTTCACTGTAATCTAACTTATTTGGCAGCATACAACAATGCAATTATTTTGAAGGTTTATAATGCAGTGGTGGAACCAGCTCAAGATTAATGAAAGTGAGGGGGTGCCCAAAATGGAGGCGTCTTTAGAGTAAA